CCCAAACCCAACCCCAAACCCAAACCCAAACCCAACGATAATGGCAGAAATATAATAAATACAATAAAAAAAATTTTTTAAAAACTACAGCAGCATTTTCTAAAGTTTATTTTTACTCTCTCAATTAAAGCCAAGTGAAATCTATACAGTTAAAAATAGATTGCAATATCTTTATTTAAATAGAAAATAATTTTCATGCTTAATCTATTTGATATTCAGAGATTGATTGATATCTATATTTAATAACAATTAGAGAAAAAAAAGATATCCTTTTTTTGATCATGTTATCCTTTAAAGAAAATTATCACAATATTCTTAATTATAAAGGCATTATTTTTCAATTATTTAATGCAATTATTTTTTTTAAATGTATTGTAATTATTATATAAAACTAAAGTAATTACTATAATAGGATATTCATGATTGGAAGTAAAAAAAAATGTTTAATTTTTAAGAGAAATTTATTCAGAAAAGAAATGGGAAGATGGTCAACAGAAGCAGTTCGTAGAAAATATTGAATTCTCGTACATGGATACAAATAAAGTCTTGTATTGAATTAAACTGAAATTTTATCCATCATTAAAGAATCCTTGAGTTTAAAATAATTATGAGAAATATTTGAAAGAGCTTATTACTTTTCTGTAAATTTACAGAATTTTGTTTATTTTTCGAAGAACTTTTGCAGTTTAAGATTATAATATTGAATATGTTTAAATTACAAATTTTATTATGGGATCGCTTCTTTATGAATTAGATAATAACAATAACGTATTTTCAGGAAATTTAAAGGAAAAGCTAGATTAAAAAAAAAATTTCAGTTGAGTCAGACTACCATATATAGGTACAAGTAGTTAGATGGTTTAACTCCTGATAAAGAAGTTTATTACAAGAATTAAAATGATTGGTGTTAATTAGAATTTTTTTAATAATATTAGCTGAAGTTTTCAATATACTTTTGTAGTAAATATAAATTATTTTATTCAAGAATCTACAATTAATACTTTAAATATCAAAGTGGCAGGAAAATTTACAAACCTGAAATAAATTGAATATTTTGTTGAGTTGAAGAAGCCTTAATTGATTTAGGACTAAAGACAGCAACAATAGTTGAAACATAAATTATCACAAATAAGTAAATCTATTAATTAAGATCTATAAGGTTTTATATAAAAATACTTAAAAAAATTAAGTAATTTTAAATAATATTTCATCCTATATCAATATAATTAGTTGTAAAGTCTTATATTTGTATTAATGAGGTCCCAAGTTTGTAGAGCTTAATGTAATCAATTATTTCTATATGCATAAAAAATAGATAAAAATTTTTTAATACTGACAATGATTCAGTCCATATTGTATTTTAGTAGTTATTTATTTTAAATTATTTTTGAAAAATTATTTATCCTCAAGTTTTGTATTTAGAGGAGAAATACTTGGTTTGAAAATTTTCTTGGTTTTCATAAAGGGGTAGAATATTATAATATAAGTGTAATTTGGCACGCAATATTTATAAAACAATAATTTTTTTCAGCAATTCAAATGTAATTATTACAGAAAATTACAAAAATCCTCCTACTAGCTTTATTCTATTAAATATTCCATCATTATCGAAAAGAATCTGAAATGTTGGTCAAATGAAAAAGTTAGATATTTGAATTTTTATACAATTTTGTTCATTTCTTAAGAGAAATTTTTATTGTGCAATTTCAATTAATTACTCTTCCAACTTGATTAGGCTGTGGTAAATAAAACAAAATTTGTGTGAGTATTAAAAATGTTGATTATAAAAGTTTATAATTAATTAATAAAACTATATAGTTTGATTTGAATAAATTTCTTTTGATTTATTTCCCTTATATGATTTTAATAGAGGTTAAAATCATTGATTATGGATTTTCAATTTATTTTTAAGATAATAAATTTTCTTGTTGATTCTTAATCACTTAGCCATAGTAAAATTAGATTTTTTATATAATGATCACTCAAATAATATCACATTCAATTTACATTCTTCATTCATCTAATGTTTATTATTATCATTATTTTACAGGAGATTCAACAAGTAAAGAAATAGTGAAAAAATATAAATAATGAAGTTTATATTTTTAAATATATTTATTAGAAAATGTGGAAAATTTATGTCCATTTTAAAATCGTGTCCAATATTCCTTGAATACAAAGAAATGTTCAATTTTTAAATATTGAAAATATTATTAAAGAAATAATTAGTTAAACTAAGATTGATTAGATATTTCATAAATTTTTCTATTTATTAAAATTTTTGTGAATTAAATAGTTAATAAGTCATGATCTTTATAATATTTTGGTTTTAATTTTTACTATAATAATTTTATTATAATTCAACAAATTTTTATACCATTTAATTTTATCTTTTTATATCTAGAATTTATTGTGATTACTTATTTGTGTTTCTA